CAACATCAAGTGCGTATATTTAATAGTAAGCCAAGCTACTGACCCATTAACGTGGTTATCTTCAAAGTCCCACGTGTCCCACATCCCTTTCCCCAGTCAAAAGGCACGTTTGACTTTAAAGCTCAGGTAGCCTGGTTCACATTTTTAATTTACCATCTCATTTGCCTTCTGTAGTTGGAAGATTTTCAGAGCATCAGTGTATGTTGATAGCAAAGATCCTACAATGTGTTTCAGCAGATAAATAAGACTTGAAGGTGTTGTGCAGACTTAGAAATCTGCAAGGACATGTATATCTAGAAATCTATCTAGAAACCAGAGATGCTTTAAAGGCATTTCCAGGTTTTAATCCCACATTAAAATACTGTTAGATCTGCACTTAGGAATATGAATTAAAATTAACCGGTTGATCTGCTGGAAAGGAAGTGGATTTCTTTCATATTCTGAGTATATACAGTATTAAAAGTCAATATTCCAAAGTACATCCTTACGAAAATGCAGTTAAAAGATTTTTGTTCATAGCATATTCTTTTACTTGAGAATCTTTTTCAGATGCATATTGTTGACTCAATTAGTGTGAAATATATAATTATATTATAGACTCAGGATCACAACAGTTATAAAACTGAATTTTATAGAAGTCCTATATTTTGGCATCTTTTTGCCTGTCTGCAGCTACAAGTTTAGTTTCTGCTACCCCTTGCATTTTTTACTAACACCAAGTTAATGGAAAACATTAACAAAGCATTATTAAAAATTCAGTTATTTGTTTGAAATGAAGTATTTTTTTAATAGAAGGAGGGAAGAAAAGAAAAAGGGGCTGTTCTTGTTTATGTCCTGTAACCTTTCCATTTTGGCTTTGTTTTGCAGCGTTGCGGAGCCGCGCTCACCTCAAGACAGCGATACCTCCCTCTTCCTCTCTCGCCTCAACACCATTTGGAAAGGATTTATTAACATGCAAAGCGTGGCCAAATTTGTCACTAAAGCATATCCTGTCTCCGGGTGCTTTGATTATCTTAGTGAGGTTAGAACTTGACACGTTCCTGGGTTTAGAATCAATCTCTGCTGCAGGTCCTGTTGCTAGAAAGGCTGGGAATAACTGTATAAGTGGTAATGGCACCCCTTTAGTGATAGGAAAAGTAGCTCAAGAAAACAACAACAAAAAAGCCTTCTAAAAATTCCTCACAAATTTGTGAGGAATTTTCATGTCTTTAAATGTCTATGCACATTAGGAACTGACATACCTTTATTTCAGCTTCAGTTTTGCCAGTTTTAGAGCCAGTATTTTAAAGCAGATCTGTGTGATCTGTGATCTGTTACAAATATTTTCTTGAAAATATCATCCTTTATACTAATTTTCATTTTTGGAAGTTTTAGAGCCAGTATTTTAAAGCAGATGATGTCTTGTTCAGTTCTCTAACCAGATGGGTCACTGGTGTGATCTGTTACAAAAGTTTTATTGAAAATATCATCCTTTATACTAATTTTCAAATAAAACCAGTTGGATGATATTCTGGGAGGGTGATATTCTGGGTAGTTTACAGATTTATGCTAAAACATAAGCTTTTCTTTCTCTCTTTTCTCTGACAAAGTGCATTTTATGTGACTGTTAGGAAGTTTCACACACAAGTGTGTTGTCTTAGGACTTTTATTAGCAGGGTTGGTGGTTGGCATTGCTTTTGCTGAGATGGATTTCACTGTGCTCTCAGAGGAAGCTGGCTAAAATTCACAGGGCGTGGAGTCACGAGGGCAGCATTTCCTCAGAAACTGAAAGTGTGGAGAAAATCTGCATTTCAAATAGCAGCTTCCCTATAAAAGCAAAGCAAATAATGAGCATTTGCAACTATTAAGATGTTTTGCTGCCAGCCTTGTTTTGGGAATGCTTTTTCTCTTTCATATATACTGTTAGCCTTGTGGTAACACGCCGTAATTAAACACCCCAAAATTTAGAAATAAGCCTGTCTGAAGTTAGAAAAGTATTTATAAAAGTTTCCTAAAATATAGTAGTGCATTACCCATTAAGCTGCTGGGATGGGGCAACCTGCACTGCTTTTTACTCGTTAGTCTCGTTTGGTTTTTCTCACCCTGCCCTGTAATACTTCTTGTTTAGGATTTACCAGATACAATTCATATTGGTGGGAGGATCTCACCGAAGACAGTCTGGGATTATGTTGGCAAACTCAAATCGTCGCTTTCTAAGGTATACACTTCAAATCCTTTGCAAAACCCAGAAGAAAAATACAGCAATATAAAATGTCAGCTTTTTATATTCTACATTAGTAAACAGCAAATGCTGACATAGGTCACACCTGGAAAACTACCAACACCCCTTTGAAATTTTTGATTCATTGAAGAAACATGTTTATTGAGCTGCAGATCCTCTTGATCGCTCTCTCCTGCAGTTAAATCGTCGTACTATTCGTTCATTTTTAATGATTGAATATAAATAATCTATTTATTCAGTACTGAAGATTGAAATTCAAATTTTAAAGGAACTTATCATTAAGTGTATGTAGTATATTTTAAAAACACTTCAGAAATGAAAAGAATCATGCACGGTATCCAGATATAGTTATGAAACTAAGAATTTTCCATTTCTCTCATATTAATTTGAGCTCCAAGATGTTTAGTTTGATGTGAGATACACGAGTAATTTGTGTCCTTGAAAACGACAAGCCTAATTTGGTTTTAATATTACCAACTGAACAGCAGTTCTCTCTTAAAGTGAGAGTATTGCCTTGAAAACAGTTGGAGTGATAAATGTACGATTTATTTTTACCCCTGGAATTTGCCCTTTACCGTTTGATTTGCTGGTGTGTTGCAGGTTGAATTTTTCCACTTTGCTTTTGTATTTCAGGAATTGTGTTTGATTCGTTTCCATCCTGCAACAGAAGAAGAAGAAGTTGCCTATATCTCTCTCTACTCCTATTTTAGCAGTCGTGGTCGTTTTGGTGTTGTAGCTAATAACAACAGACATGTCAAGGATCTCTACCTGATCCCCCTGAGTTCTAAGGACCCAATTCCTTCCAAACTCTTGCCCTTTGAGGGACCAGGTAAGCACAAAACAGGGGAGGTTAAATACTAGGTAAAAATCACAAAACAAAAGTCAATCAGAGACAAGTTGTTGTTGAATGTTCAATGTAAGCGTTATTAAATTTTATCTTATAGAAACCCAATTTTAAAGTATGTAAATAGGAAAAAAAAATGGAAATCCAAGGTAAATCAAGAGAAAATTGTCTGAAATTTACATAACCCTTTCCAACAAGATGCTTATATGCTGTTAGGAAAATGAGGTTAACCTGTAAAATTAAGTAAGTGGAACTATATTGAAAAAAGGCAGCAAACCACCCCCCCAATCTTCAGCGACCCATAAATCCACCAAACCTGGGCTCTTACAAGCCATTCACCATCGCTTAAATCAAGCAGGAGACTTAGCCCACAGAGGAGACAAGAAATCCATGAAGACAAAGGTAATTCTCATTAGTGGTTTCACTGAACTGTTGTTGTCTCACGCCGAGTGTTAATCCTCACCTGCAACACGGTGCACAGGGCTTGGAAGTGTCTTGTTCCAGGTGGTGCAAACTCGAGCCAAATCACTGACTTCTGAGAACTGGATTGTTTAGGGGGAAGAGGATCCACGTTTCTTAAAGTTAGCAGGTGGCAGGCAGTAGTTGGTGTAGGCAGGTTGTGTTATAGTCTTCGATTTTTAGATAGAATTACCAGTGCTAATGTTTGGCTTGAGTTTTCTCTATGTTTGTGCGTTGAACATGGTGGCAGAAGAACTGAGAATAAATCCAGCCACAAAACACCCTTCTGTTGCAAAATTTGAAGTCATCTTCATCTGAGGATGGAGGAGGTGCCTATGCATAGTTTCCAAATAAGTGTCTGGGATTTGATATTATTGTGCCCTGAAGAACTGCAGGTCACAATGAAGGCAGTACTTCATTGTCAGATTGAAAACATGACACGGTAGGTATGAAACAGCAACCGTGGCAGGAGCTGAGCTTTCTGAGAAGCTGATTTGTCCTCTACATCTCAAGTACCAGTTTAGGACTAAACTCAATAAAGCATTCTCAGAGTTATATGCAGGAGCAGCAGTGCCTGGGACAGGTTTTCATGTGTGGCATTATGAGTTCAACAGCTGGTACATTGTCAGTTAAATTCTCTCCCTTCCTCCCTGAGATGGCAAAGGGCACTTCTATATGCAGGAGTTCAATTCTCTCCCCTTCCTCCCTGAGATGGCAAAGGGCACTTGCTCTGCGTCCTCAGGATAGATATGTCTCATGCAGGCCAAGTCTGTCCCATTTTGTAGCCCAAAAACGAAAACATGAAGTACAAAACACTTGGCACAGGGATGTGAGCAAAGAGTCTTAACTCATGGAGTAGTTCTTCCAGCCAGAACAGAAGAAATACCCCTCTTTGTGGACAGTAATGCAAGAGGGGGGTTGGCCGCACACTGGGCTGTACCTGTCTGCAGTTTCTTGTTGTAAATAACCAGTAAATAACCTGCTTTAGGGAGGCACTTACCAAATTGTTGCCTCGCATCCTCAGGCGAGATGTCTCATGCAGGCCAAGTCTGTCCCATTTTGTAGCCCAAAAACGAAAACATGAAGTACAAAACACTTGGCACAGGGATGTGAGCAAAGAGTCTTAACTCATGGAGTAGTTCTTCCAGCCAGAACAGAAGAAATACCCCTCTTTGTGGACAGTAATGCAAGAGGGGGGTTGGCCGCACACTGGGCTGTACCTGTCTGCAGTTTCTTGTTGTAAATAACCAGTAAATAACCTGCTTTAGGGAGGCACTTACCAAATTGTTGCCTCGTTTTACTCCTGCATAAATCCCAGCTTTCCTTTTCACACTTTCCTTAACTTTTCCATTCTAGATTTCATTAGATTGGAGGGTTGGCAGAGGTAGACAAACTGTTGTGTATTGGTAGGGAAATTTGTAGTGTCAGCCTAGTTTTGTTGAGTTTAAATTGCGCAAACTCCGTTGTGTATTGGTAGGGAAATTTGTAATGTCAGCCTAGTTTTGTTGAGTTTAAATTGCAAAGGTTTTCCAAAACTGGAAGGGAATTCCTCAGAAGAAATATAGGCGTCAGTTGCAGGTGGTGTTCATGGAGGCAAATTTTATAAGTGAGGTTTTTAAATTGAAATATATATTTGTAGGCAAAGTGAGTTACAGGATAGGGATAGGAACAAGGTACCAGAGGCTAAGATGTAGGCCAGGATGTAACAGCTTCAGAGAAGACCCACTTCAGGTTTTTAGATTGAAATACGTATTTATAGGCAAAGTGGGTTACAGGATAGTGATAGAAACAAGGTACCAGAGGCCATAGGATGTAACAGCTTCAGAGAAGACCCACTTCTACCTGACTTCTGCCATCAATTCACTCTTCTCAGAAGCTTCTGTAGCAGCCTTTTTACCTCAGGGTTGTGCTGTGTCGCGTTCGTGTTTTAAAACCCTATCCATTATGGGGTGGCACAAACATCAGGTAAGCTGCTTTCTGGTTGTGCGTATGTATTAAAGCCGCAGCGTAAAAGACATGTAATCGGTACTTTTTAATGCCATCTGATGGAATTTACTGCTTTTCCTTTCTTTCACAATCAATAAAAATATTTTGTGGAAAGTGGTCATTGTCTCCTTAAATTTGATCGTGTACCTTCAAGCAGAGGTTAGCAAGGACTCCAAAAGGGTTATGCTCCAAGGAGCTGCAGGTGATTTGATAAATAGGAGTGGAGGGGGGAGGAGGGAGAGGATGACAAACCTGTGGCTCTGGAAATCCTAGTTAGAGGATATCCCAGCTGTATCCCCCAGTTCCCTCAGGCACCTATGGATTAGGAATTCCTCCTGTTCTCTGATGGACTGGATGTGGAACACAACTGAGGACTTCTGAACGCTAGATCTACAAAAAGCTTGTCATGGGTGATACAAAACCAGAGGAGAGCGGAAGGTTATCCACGTTTATACTGATCTCAGTCATTTTGTGCCAGATTTTCTGTATCAGTGGGCTCTTCTGCATTGTCCTTGTGCAATGGTTCACTGTGTGTGAATTTACTTGTCTGTTCCACATACACACGTTATTTAGCACTTTCATCTGTAGATCTCAAAGTGCTTCTTAAAAAAACCAGGATAATCAGACTTTATTACCAATAGAAAGTGATTTACTGAGGGATTTAGTGGCGATGTTGGGAATGTAACAAGAAGTTAATTTTAATATAACAGCCATATATCAGCAAAGGATTCCACAAAGGTTGATCTATCTCTTTTGGTGGTTTCCAGTAGGTAGTGTGGGGTTTTGTTCTTAAAGTATGAAGGCATGAAATCTTCTCATGCTGTTTAAAATGCTTTTAGAAATGGCAAGAAATGAACTAACAGTACTCCGAATGGAGTTGGGTGTCTTCATCTCAGCAGATACCACAATGAAAAGCAGCAGTGGTAGAAGAACACAGGTTACAAACCTGATTTTCTGTATCAACCAGTCCCATTCAGCAAATGTACCTCGACGTGCAGCTGTGCTGTGATGCTGGAAGTGAGCTATAGCCCAGAGTTAAGGGTGCACAGATTTGGTGATAGTTGTTAATTGTTCTCATGATTAATTGGGACAAATACTAAAATGGCAGTGATAAAATTTAAGGAATATCTTGTAGTGGTCTCTGCAGTTTAAAAATGTACACCATGGGTATGTGTAGTCCATTCCCATGGGTTTGTCATCAATGTACACAAATTATGCATTTATCTTTCACAGATAACTTCTTACCAGCTGATGGTAGGGAAAGATGTGGCCATTGTATGCATAAATATGGTAAAACTGATTTAATGGAAAAATGCATTTAAGGGTAAGAAAACCAAATATTCCTCCAGTACTAATATTTAGTGTATCCTGTTTTAATGGCTTTAGCTACAGGATGTAACTCAATAAAACCAGCACGTGGACTTCAAATACATAATAGGGACAATAACTATTTTATAAATCATTTAGCACTGAAAGCCACCGACCCTGCAGCGCAGCCTGCAGCGCTCTTAAAGCTCTCGTTGGGAAAGGCAGTCACTGAGCAGTGCTTGGGGACGGCAGCCAACATTGTCCTTATTACCCAAAATCAGGCATTTAACCTATTTATGGATATTGGGATGGGACTGGCCCTGGAGGTGCTGGTCCAGTTTCCAGTCAGAAGGCGCATTTAGCTTTGATCACTTTGAGTGGATGTAGAAGGCAGGTTAGGCATAACTCCTAATAGTCCTGTAAAATTACTGTGTAACATTTTAATGGGTTTATATGATGACTAAACTCTGAACAGATATAATTAATGTTACTACTTTACTACTGGAATTATTTTCTTGAAAGTATATTAAAATTTTATCCTTTTTTTTTTCTTTAATTAGTGCCTTGATCTCTGGATCCAAACCTGATTTTTCAGTAATTGCTGTTTCTTAGGTATTCTGTCTGATGGATTCTTGAAACCTGTTCATTTCAATTATTCAGTGTTTATATTAAAATTTTATCCTTTTTTTTTTCTTTAATTAGTGCCTTGATCTCTGTTTCTTACAGGGATCCAAACCTGATTTTTCAATAATTGCTGTTTCTTAGGTATTCTGTCTGATGGATTCTTGAAACCTGTTCATTTCAATTATTCAGTGTTTGAGATTCATTGTGACTAATTGCAGAAAAGTAGATAATCACAACTTTAACAACAGGCAACCAGCAAATGCCCACGAGGAGATGCTGGACGAGCACCAGTTGGTGAGGGACTCTGCACTGGTCAGCACCGACCAAACGTGGAGTCAGAAACAAAAATATAAAGCAAATTCACACACAGTGGACCGTTTCTGACAAATGACTATTTTGACTGTAAATTGTGAATGTTTTTTTTCCTAGTTAAGTTGTCTTCCTTTTGACCTGTGCCTTGATCTCGTCTATTAATATAATTTCATTGAAAGTAGCAAATTATTGTGAACAGAATTGCTATAATTGCTTTTAGGCTGTGGGGTTGGGTTTTTTTTTGTTGCTGTCAAAACGTTTTTGGTGCTAATAATTAGATATTTAAAAATTGTTCCTTAATGAGCAGTTGGTTTGATTTTATAAGAACAAGGAACTTGTTCTTATATATATATATATAACTTAGAGGATCATGAATAGCTGGAACAACGTAGGTCAGTGTCCTCGCCTTACCATGTAACCGCAGTGAATATTGCCTGTTGCTTTACAGATTGGTTTGTGTTTCTATATTAGTGCTTCCTGGCTGGATGCAAATCGTATCTAATAGCACATATGGGGGAAAGACAGCGGCCTCAGATGAGGACCCTTTAAAAGTCATTAAATCCAGAAGTTAAATAGCCTCTCTACAGATTTTCTGCATTTGCCACCAGCTGTGTGTTAAAGGATTTATTCCCTTCATTCTGGTCATGTTTATCTCCCACAAGAGCCAGTGGGAACTGTGCCTGTAAGAGGAAGAACTACAATAACATGGAACAGACCTTCAGACCTTCACGTTTTTCCTCTTTATCAGAAACTCTCCCATCGTTTTTGGATGTCCTTCTCCAAGGACTCAAGTCTGGAGCTTTCACAAAGGAGTAATTCTGCTCGCAGTGGTTTTTACTTACAGAAGGGTGTTAGGGCATCGACCTGGATGCTGTGACAGTGGGTTTCGGGTCCCCTTGTCCTCTGTGTCCCAGGCTCGTCCCCAGTGACCATGTCCTCACCAACAAAACCAGTGTAGCCAGGGCCCCCACTCCCCTGCACCCAGCTTGGGTCTGCTCACCCTCTCCTTCTGCCCTTACACTTTCCCTGCTTCCACCCTGTTTTAAAATAATATCAAGCTGGAAAAAGCCAAACAAACAGGGAGCAGGTTACAAGCTGTAATACTATTTCCAAACACAGTTGGTATGAGGTTATTTTCTTATTTGTTTAACTTAGAGCTAGACTAAATATTTATAGACTGGTGTAAATGTCAATGGAGTTCTTTTAGCAGGGATTATAAAAGAAAGATAGTTACAAAGTTCAGCCCCGGTTTTCTCACTTTTCAATATCTCTGTGTAGGCAATGTATTTGCAAACTATTTAAAAGAAAATGTGTGCTTTTTCAGGGGTAGGCTGAACAACAACAAAAACAATGTAACAATACAAAAAATATAAAAAGTTTCTTTGGTTTTGAACATTTGCAGAGACGCTTTTTAATGATCATACCTGTTGCTGCCATCTTCTATTAAAAATGTCAAGGAAGGAATTAGAACATTTCTTTTCTCGTATACAAATATATATAAAAAGTAAAGAAATATACATGCATATGCTTATGGACTAATGAAAATTGCCAGGAGGTCATCTATGGAATTTAGAAAAACTGTTGTCTTTATGACTTTTGTGGCTGCCACTATATAAAATAAGAAGTTTCTGCTGAAAACGTAATTAAAAACTGGGTTTTTACATATACTGTCTTTGTGTTCTCTTTCAGGTCTCGAGTCCTCTCGGCCAAATTTAATTCTGGGACTGGTTATCTGTCAGAAGGGGAAGCGTCCTGCCTCTGGCATTGAAGCAGAAAAGATGGAGGAGAAGCGGAGCAGAATTCAAGCCCACGAGGAAACGGAATCGTCGCTGTTCACTAAAGGGCCACTTGCTGCTTCGCAAGAGAAGAAAACTCCAAAATACACACTTTATTCAGATTCAAACATCAGTACCACACCACCTGGATCTCCTCCACCTCCACCTCCGCTTCCCGCCCCAGACTCTTCAGCAGTTACACCTTCAGTGTTAAAAATACTCTCCTCGATTAAAAGTGGAACCACGGCTACTGTGACCCCCCCGGTTTCCAGCGCTGCTCCTCCAAGCGTCACTGCTCCCCAGTCCTCAGCCTCGAAGACTGCCACCCCCCTCGAGCACATCCTGCAGACGCTTTTTGGAAAAAAGAAAACTTTTGAGCCTCTCGCTAAGGATTCTGAAAGTGTCCAGTCTGCGAATCAGGAAGGTCCAGCCCCTGCTGAGGGAGGAATGGCAGCCGTTCCTCTGCTAGATCCCATCGTGCAACAGTTTGGACAGATGTCGAAAGACAAAGCAATAGAGGAGGAGGAGGATGACAGACCGTACGATCCTGAAGAAGAGTACGGTCCGGAGAAAGCTTTTGAAGTGCAGACTAGTGAGAGTGAAAAACGGTATAATGTGGAAAAGCCATCTAATGCAGCAGAACTAGAGGATGAGGCCTACGATCCAGAAGATGAAACCATCTTGGAAGAAGCAAAAGTTACCGTTGATGATTTACCTAACAAAATGTATACAGACACGAAAAGCAGCTCTTCGGAAACATCTGCTTCATACGTGCCTGATTTATCTGCGTCCTCATCCCTGGTAGAACAGCAAAAAATGTTGGAAGAATTAAACAAACAAATAGAAGAACAGAAAAGACAACTCGAGGAACAAGAAGAAGCCCTCAGGCAACAAAGAGCAGCTGTTGGTGTGTCAATGGCTCATTTTTCAGTGTCTGACGCTTTGATGTCACCGCCACCAAAGTCTTCCCTGATGAAGGCTGAATTATTCCATCAGGACCAGCAGGCTGCCCAAAAAGTCGATTTACCTTCATCTTTAAATCAACAAGCACAAGTTTTAAACCAGGGCTGCGACCCAAGGCAGAACAGAGATCCT